AGAGAGAGAGAGAGAGAGAGAGAGAGAGAGAGAGAGAGAGAGAGAGAAAGAGAGAGAGAGAGATTGTGCCAAGGATACTGAGAGAGAATTAGAGCTTCTCATGACGGTGAGGAGTGGAAAAGAGGAGAATGCCCTATTCGATAAATTGCTGTTTGAGAGAGACAGATATCCTAGGGGTACAAGTGGTTTCGAAAAGGTGACCAACCTTTCCAAATGGAAATGGCAGCGCACGGTTTTTCCATGGCTCTATACGTGTGGATGACTTGAATTGAAGCATCAAGAAACTTGTTGTTACAAAGTTAGTCTGATATGAACCCATTTCTCCGAATTGAGAACGATTTTAGAGGCATTTTGTACTGAGAGTGTACAAATAGTTGTGGAGTCCTTTGGAGAATAGAGACCTTATCTAAACACATGATCCTCCTTTTAACCGTGGCATCCACAGTTTGAGTCCAGTTGACGTCATTCCCCTTATAACTGCCCATGTTCGTGTTGCTTTTGAACTGTAACAGACATAAAAGTATTTTATATCGATACTGTATTGCTGATCCTGAGTCAAAATATAGGACTGATGATGCGGATGATCAGTGATGATTGTGATGATAAAGACGCAATATACTCGACACATCAGTAGTAGAAAAAGAGAGAAACATCAAAAAACATTACACATGCAAATATGTTTATGTGTTCACACTATTGTCATGTTGGAGAAAAGTTACAGATTTCCGACTGACGGCATGTTGGAGCGGCAACGCATTGGTTATATGGTTAACAATGTGTAGAGTGTAACCATAGGGGACCAGTCAGGGATTGTACACAGAGCTGTGAAACATATGGTATGACAGCATGTCATATTTCAGTTTTAGCTCCACAGCTCTCCACAACCGTAAAATTTAAAAATCAACTTCCTGTGCTGTGAGTAGAGTGTGTGCCATTTTACAAGAGCTGTTGCACCACCTCAGTCTCAAGAGTCCCATGTGGCACTCAGCTGTTTTATAAAAGGAAGAAGGAACTCTTTGTCATCGGTAGTGAAGAATGGTAAGGTCATGAAATTAGACACAGGGGGGAAAAAAAGAACGGAAGGCAAAATAAATGAATTTCCACTTCAGTAAGTGCTAAATGTCTGGATTGGATGCAGCAGATACAGTTATGTTTGAACAGGGAAAAGCCCACGCAGTAGTTTTGTTATAGTCACATTGTACAAAAAAGGACATCGTATATTATAGTTATAATTCTTGAGATTTCTATTAATTAAACGTGTTTTATTGCGATTAATAGCATGCATTTTCTCTAATCTTTGTTCTCTAATTTTAAATAAAAATGTTAAAAGATATACATTTTACAGGACCGATACATGCATCCTGGGTTTTAATAAGAAAGAACTTTGGCTCCTGGAATACAATCTGTTAAGCTTTATTGGTTATATGTGATGATGTAGCAGCTACCCTGACCTATGACTCACCTATTATCTTAGGTTTGAAAACATGTGGCAATGAATGAATGCAATATAACGGCAGAAATTGACTTTGCTTTGAATCTTTCTCAGTATTTCACCTTCAGTGTTTGCAGTAGTCAGAGGAGTTCTTTGTGGCAAAGGACAGGACCATCAATAACACCTTCAGAGTCGTGCCTCAGGACAACATACATGAAAAGAAAATGTTACTGACAGCAACTTAACATTCAGGAAAGGAAGGCAATTGGTTGAGGATTTCCAATATCTAATAAAAGCTGTAACTAGCAGACAAGCTTGAAAATACAAAACCTGCTCACTGTGCATTTTATTTAGACACTGCAAAATAACTTTGCTGAGATGATATCTCCTAGAAAGCATACCAAAAAAAACAAATGAAACATTAAAAAACTTCACCTTGATTCCGCAGCTCTTGAGTCATTAACTGCACATTATGTTCACAGAGCTGCATCCTGGTCTCATCTCAGGAAAGAATGCATTTGAGTTAAATTAGGAGAGGTTATTGAAAGTGGCCGAGATGAGCCCTTTGTATTCCAGGTGCGTTTCGAGACAACAAAAAAAACATGGCACATGGCAGGTGTAACATTATGGCTCAGAATCTTCATTTCTTCGACCTACTAGCATCTTATGTGCTGATTACTGTTTGGGAGAACAATGAGACGGCTGCCACACGTGGTGATTTTCACATATTCCTTGACTGCTGATCAGCCCACATGAGCTAAGGAGAATATATGTACATGAGAAGAAAGCTGGAGACAGTCAAGTTGGAATGGCTTGCTGTGCCATTGACAGATTGTGGGGATCAACCAGGAGATGTAGGGAATCACTCGAGGGTGTGAATCAGTCATAATTAATTTTGGAGTGCACAAAAATGAATCCACCCATGAGTGCCAGAAACGTTTCTGTGTAGTTTCCCCAGCCACCTGCTGGCTGCCTTATGATAGATGAAACCCTTTAGTAAACAAGCATCACGAAATGGCAGAGTGAGGCGTATTGAACATTGCTCCGTCTCTCCCTTGCCATCTTCTCGGCAAAAATAATTAGATGCTGGGATGCAAAACACCATGGTAGTGTGTCTGCAGGCACCTGTTCCGCTTGATGAATATCCTGTACATGAGAGCCCATTAAAGCTGGCGATACATAACAGTTCTGTCAAAGCTCACTTCCGCAGCAGGGTTTTTAGTGTGTCAAGGGGACGTCCCTGATCGCCTGCTAAATTCATGCTTTTTGTAACTTCAGATTATGCATGTGATGATGAGCGTAGCACAATGCGCTGTGCCTTATGGTGCGTTGGTCACCTTTTCATTACAGAGCAAGAGGGCAGGCCAAGGGACTTTTCACATTAAGACCCGAACCAAAGTGGAGTTTGTAGATACACTGCACACAAAGATAGAGCCGGATCACAATAGGCAGAGCTGTTGGAGCTGAGTGAGGCCGCTGTGCAACATATTTCCTCTGTGCACAATACACAGCACAAACCAATACTCAGAACATCAACACACACAAAGCACTGGCACAAAATAACATTCATCTCTTATGTATTGCATTTAATGAAATTGAACTCTTTATCCGTCATATTAGTTTTAATAATCTTAATTAATTGCTATGGCCTGTGTCTTTAAAAGGTTAACGCTATGTTGATTTTCTCCTGGCCTCACAGGGGGGTTAATATGATCAGTTCAGGGACCTCTTGTCCCTGAACTGATCAGTTACATATGAATCCAACTTATTACATCTTAATGACCTAATACATTACATTTACATTAACAGTGTCAGTATCACCTTATGTCACACAACAATCTGTTTTTATGGATTTATACCGGTGAGCGTGGCATTTAACGGTTGTTAGAAATAGCTTAGTCTGATTATTTCTTTGCATTAAATTGTTTCCTACATAAAGTTTAGTTGCCAACAAAATACCATAATAATTCAATCATGTAGCTAAAATGATCTGATAGCAAAATTATATTTATATTTGAACTTGGCCTTCGAAAAAAAGATTTAATGAATATTGAATGTATTCTCTATACTCTACATTCTATACAGAGTGGCATGCTACAAGGTGTCAATCATAAAGTAATAACAGTTATAAATGCAGGTTATATTTAACTATCATTATGTGGGTGGTAGATACGGGTGTGATTATGTTAATTATTTATTTTATTTTGTCCAAATCATGCCAGGAAAGGATCAAAACAAAGTGTGATCTGGTGACTGTGTTGAGAGGCTTTACCTTCTGTGGTATGAAACAAACAGAGAGATGATGAAGGAATTAATCTCATATAGTGTATGGTCCAGACTGCAACTGCTCTTCATCAATCATAGAGGGGAACTATAATAATAAAGGTCCAAGAACATATTATTCTGCAGCTTGATAAGGTAAATCATGTTCCGTAATACAGTGTACAAATGAAAGTAGCAACTTAGAGGTCTGAGGCTATATTTTCTATACAGCATTTGGGGCACACTTGAGTTTGAATGACACAGATCTGACCTGCGTAATCAAACCA